CTGCTTATTCCATTCTTACCCACTTTCCTTGGGTTCACTAGTTAATTCTACACACATTTTAGACATTGGGTGCATGAGACTCACTCCCGTTTGTATTACTAAAACACAAGTCAATAGGATATAAAAAGAAGGAAAAGTATTGGGCTTTAAAATGAGCACAAATCTCATTTCTGCCAATTCCTATATCTAAGAAAAAAATCCTTATCTTTTTGAGACTCAAGTTCTCTATGTAAAGAATCACTTGACCAGAATGTTCAACCACATGTGACAATACTAGAAGGTATTTTAATTCATTCTAAGATTCCTTAAAATTCTGTAATTCTATGTGCTTTGGATTCTGGGAATACAAAGCCAGCAGAATTTGAAAAAAGAATAGAAATAAAGAAACACCAAAAAAAAGCAGAGAAGAACGTTTTAAAAAATCAAGACAAGACTATAGAAAATTCATGGATAAAGAAACAAGACTACAAAAAGTATTATGGAAGTAAGCAGAAATACTAGCCTAAATTAAAAACAAAATTGGGAAATCAAATAATTTCTAAGACTTGCCTAAACTTGCTTTTGTAAAACTTACTGTCCCATGGCGAAAGCTAAGTAAGATCTGTCCTCAAGGCTTTGATGGCAAAAAGAAGATACTGGTTACCACTGAAATTGTCAAATTTATTACGACAGACTCTTGGACTAACCACATTCTAATGATAACATTAAATGAGTGTTGAAGGTATTTAAACTCTCACTAATTTAGACATTAATTAAATTAATGAATCTAATTAATCTGATTCAGACCTATACCATGATCCAAGTGCTGCACAGATGTCTATCAATTTATGCTGAGCAGCAAGGGAAGGGACTTGGAAGGCAGGCAGGCTGACAATCAACGTGGGTCAGCTACCTTGTTAAGAATAGGATCAAAAGCCTATTAATCCACTGCTCAAATCCATAGTTGTTTATTTAATAAATGGTAGGTTATAGGAACACAGATGTTGTGATGGCCTTATGAGATGATAAATGCATAGGACATAATAGGATGTCGAGCCCAGAATGCAACACTCAACAGATGTTAGTTTCTTGCATCTATATTTACTTGGTTAACATAATTTTTTAAATCTATAAAATCCTACCTGACTCCAGATTAATCAGAACTTCCAAAATCTATTAAAGAAAAAGGCAAAATGCATTTTAAATTAATAATAAATGTATAGATTATTAAAAGCATAAGAATGCACAGAGATGCATGCCTGTAATCCAAACTACTCAGGAGGCTGAGGCAGGAGGATCACTTGAGGAACCCAGAACTTTGATACCAGCTTGGGAAACAAAGCAAGACTCTACCTTAATAAAAAAACTTGTGCACACCTGTGTGTATGCTTTAGATCCAGTTTTTGTTGTTGTTTTTGTTGTTTTTGTTTTGTTTTGTTTTTTATGCATAAGACTGATGCTTTGTTACAAAGAATTCCTTTGTGAGCATGCCTGGGACGTTATTAGAATTAACATTGATTATACTTATTGGTAGGTAATTAATGCAACAAGAACTTTGCATTATTAAATACAAAGAATAATAAAAATATTAAACTTTGGTATCTTCAAGTGAACTGAAGTATACAAATCATCCTAGCCAAACCCTATGAGATTGAGTAAAAATTTTATTGTTAGCAGAACAGGTGTGAAGAGTCAACAGTGTCAAAGAGCATGATTTCTGGAACAAAATATGAGGGGCAGTTAAAACAGAGGATACAGTAGTATCCCTTATCCACTATATGTGCAGAAAGACATACTTGATATGGTTTTCTCTGCTGTCACACCACAATAACAATCATCAACAAAGAAGGCTTTTGTGGCCAAATGTGTGGAGAGTTTTTCCCCACCAACAAGCAAGCAATCATGTCTGCTGATGACACAATTCAATTCTCCACTCTATCTGCAGATAACATCAGATTTAATTTAATTTAGAAATTAAACTTTATCCTAGATATGTATGTATAGGAAAAAACAGTTTATAATTCAGTACTATTCGTGGTTCCATGCATCCAATGGGGGTCTTGGAATGTATTTCCCATGGTTAAGGGGGAACTACTGCACTTATATTTTAATAAGACAACATAGCCTCTCTAGCTCTTCAGTTCAAACTGTTCAGTTTAGGAGAAAACACCCTTTCACCAGAAGCCTGCAAAACATAGGAAGCAGATCAGAAACAAGAATCCTTGCAAAGACTTTCCAGCCGCCAGTGGAAAAGAGCTCCAAAGAGATCAATGTGTTACTCTGGCTACTACTCTTTGGGGAAGGTGCTGGGTGGTTTACTTAGTGGTAGCTATTTGCTCTGCCCTCCATACAACAAGGCCCAAATTCACCTGCCATTTTACCTCCCACAGAAAAACCACTGAAAATATCACTCTTTTAAGAGCTTATCCACTATGAACCACAACTCACATTCAGAAAGTAGCTTAAGAAACACTGGGGAGGTGTGACAGGCTGCCAGGCAATACTATATGATGCGAAAAATATATAGAAAGAAAGCTATATCAAAGCCCTTTTACTACCAGAAAGTTCCAATGCTTGCCCTTCTCCCTAGTAAGGGAAATAATTCTTTTTCACCTTACATAAAGCAAAACTCTCTTGCCATCCCTCATGACAGAATCTAGTTGTAGGTGAGTCATATCAATATAATAGACTGTTGTCAAACTTATCGCGCAAAGGAAGAGGATCAGTGAGGAACCTATCTATATACCTATAGCATTCACCATCTGCTCTTATTTCTAACCGAAGGTAAGTAAGAAAGACTTTGTGATTCCAGTTTTATAAAATACAATCCCTTGAACTTGTTCCCTTTCATTGCTAGAGAGTCTGTCATAACCCATATCACGGAACAACAAGCCCCAGTTTGGGCTGTGTGGTACTACACAGTGTCCTTTTCCTCAATCCTTTCCATTATGTGGCAAATACCTATACAATCATGTTTTCTAAGTATGTAAAGCATACATCAACAGCATATATCATTCTTTACAATGATAAAGAAGCAAAAGAAAAACAAAAGGAAAAAGAACATCTCAAATGACTACATTCAATTATGGTGGAGCTCTTTTTATATATAACTATTCTAAAAGATATCCACTGTATTATTCCAAGTATATGACTCTTCTGAAAAAAGTAAAATTAAGAAGACAGAGTAAAGATCAATGGTTGCCAGGTGCTGCCAGGTAGAAAGTGAGAGGTGAACACGCATATTTTAGAGAATTTTTAGGGTAGTGAAACTGTTCTGTCAGTAACATTACAATAATAGATACATATCATTATACATTTGTCCAAATTCACAGAATGTACAGCATCAAGAGTGAAGCCTGATGTAAACTATAAATTTTAAGTGATTATAATGTGTTGATTTAGGTTCATCAGTTGTGCCAAATGTACCACTCTGGTGGAAAATACTAATAATGGGGTAGGCTATGCATTTGTGGGAGGCATGGAACATATGAGAAATCTCTGTACCTTCCTCTCAATTTTGCTGTGAACCTAAAACTGCTCTAAGAACTAAAGTTATCGATTTAACAAACATATTCACAGCTGGGCACGGTGGCTCATGCCTATAATCTCGGCACTTTGGGAGGGATTAGAGTCCCTCACCCCACATTATTCATGGGTCAACTGTGATTATTTGTTTACTGAATATAAACCATTTATTATAAAAATGAAATAGAAGATCCATTTGTATAAAAAGTTCAATTTGTTGTAATGTGACTATAGAGGAAACATACAACAGACTAATTTAAAAATCTTTTTTCTTATTTTTGTGAAAATATATGGTTTTAGCAATTATATTTAAATAAATGAATTTTCTCAGACAATAATGTTTGAGATTATTAATTAGCTACAACTACCTTCTTAAATAAATCTGAATTTCAAACTAAAGAAGTTAAATTTTAAAAAATTAATTTACTTTTGTATATACATATATACACATGCAATTGATACATATTTTTTAACTAGCCTTTTTTGATTAACCAGGTCTCTTATACAGACCTTGTGTCTTCTGTTCAGTTTTTCAATTCATACAAAACAGCATCCAGGCCATCACCAATCATTCTATGCGACAAATGCTCCTTCTAACAACCCCACAATATTGCCTCTTACCACAAGATCTCCCTTCAGCTTAATCTCTCCCATTCTAGGTTCCCATGCTGCCCCTAATCCCACTTGAAGCAGTCCTGAGAAAAGTCGCCAAATCTCTCTCCGTATTGCCCCCCAAAATTTTTGCCACCCCAGCAATTCAACACTATTTTGTTTTATTTTTCTTATCAATATAAGAAGGCAGAAATGTCAGGCATCTGAGCCCAAGCTAAGCTATTGCATCCCCTGTGACTTGCGCATATATGCCTGTGACTTGCACGTCCGCATCCCTTGTGACTTACAGGTATACCCCCAGATGGCCTGAAGTAACTGAAGAATCACAAAAGAAGTGAAAATGCTCTGCCCCACCTTAACTGATGACATTCCACCACAAAAGAAGTGAAAATGGCCAGTCCTTGCCTTAAGGGATGACATTATCTTGTGCCTTGCTCATCTTGGCTCAAAAAGCTCCCCAACTGAGCACCTCGTGACTCCCACTCCTGCCCACCAGAGAAGAACTTCCCTTTGACTGGAATTTTCCTTTACCTACCCAATTCCTATAAAACGGCCCCACAGTTATCTCCCTTCGCTGACTCTCTTTTCGAATTCAGCTTGCCTGCATCCAGGTGATTAAAAAGTTTTATTGCTCACACAAAGCCTGTTTGGTGGTCTCTTCACAGGGACGTGCATGGCACAGTATATGCTTAACTTTGTAAATTACATCACTCAAATTCTCCATCTGCTCCAGCCAGAGAATTGTGAGGGATGGAAAACAGCTGAGGGCCCGTTTGGCTCCACAGCTCGTAGAGTGCATGGCACCCTCCAAGGTCCAGTCCCAGGGGCTGCAGGGAAGCCGGGCCTGGGGACCCCCTCCTACCCTGGGACTGAGCCCCCGCTACCTGTGCTGCTTGTCTTGGTCTCCACTCCAGCACACCAGGCAGCGCTCCACTTCCCCGGCATCACACTTGACAGCCGCCCTCTGGATCTTCTGCAGTTCGGCGTCCCAGATTCGGTACCTGGAACCCGTGTAGATGTGGCCTATGGAGCTCAGGACCGTCTGGCCTCTGCGGCTCCCGAAGCCAAACGACTTCATGGTGGTGAGCTCTTCTCAGACCCCCAACCACCGGCTCTTAAGTGGGGGCAGTTCCCTGTCACATTTTCACCACCTGTCACATTTTCACCACCACCACCCCCCCTCGATCCCCACCAACCCAGCTCCAAATCCCCTATCCAACCACAAGTACTTGATCCAACCCCAAATCCGTGATCCAAGCTCCAATCTGCGAATGCAATTCTGTGATCTACTCCAAAATCCACGATCCAGCCTGGTCCACCACATCCTTCAGCAGTGACACTCACAGCCTCCAACCTTTCAGACCAAGTGAGCCTAGCAAAGCCAAAGAGCACGTGTCTGCACCACTTCTGGAAGTCGCTTGCAGGCTGAGCATGACAGCAGGTGGAGCGCTGCCTAGCATGCAAGAGTAGAGATGTGGATGCCATGGACAAGCAGCACAGGCAGTGGAGGCTCAACCCCGGGGTGGGAGGGGGTCCCCAGGCCCGGCTTCTGTGCCACCCCTTGGACTGGAGCTTGGAGTGCACTGTGCACTCTCTGAGCAGCAGAGCAAAAAGGACCTTCAGCTGTTTTCCATCACTCATAATTCTCTGGCTGGAGCAGGTGAAGTTGAGTGATTTAACTTACAAAGTTAAGCATCTAGGGTGTTTTATTTTTAACGAACACCTTTAAAACATGGTTTATATACATTATAGGAGGTGCCTAATGAGAAAACTCATTCCCCTATCAAAAATAGCATGAGTTATTTTTGGTTTGCTAGTAGGCGAAACGTTCTCAGAGAAAACTGACCGTTTTACATCCGTATCCACCTGCGTAGGTAGGTTCTTTACTTGGAATTGGGAGGTGGGTTCTGTGTTCTTGAATGGGAAGGCACATTTTTCTCAAAATGTGAGTTCTTCCTGTATTTATCAATTTTACATAGACCGAATGAAATTATCAAGGTTTTAACATTTTTCTGTGACACCTGCTGTCTTTCACTATTGTGATGGCATTTAAAAAAATCTCATAATGGAGTGAAAAACACTTGCTCCTCTAGATAGCAACATGTGCTATTAATGTCTACAATTAATCATTTACTGACAGCTGAAAAGACAAATGCATGGAGCAGAGTAGGAAACCCAGAAACCCTGAAATTATGTAAGGCTAGAAGTAAGGATTGATGAAGTAGGAAAGGATGAGTTATTAATGAAAAAAAGGCTGATATTTGAAGAAAATTAATGAAATTTTATGTCACAAACATGAGTTCCTGATGGAATACAAGTTGAAATTTTTACATATGCAAGTGAGTAAGGTACCAGAGGAAACACAAATTCTTATTTTGCAGGTACATTTTATGTTGACAAAGGCCTTCTTAAGAATGACCTCATAAGCAGACATACTGAAGGTTGATTTAGCAAACTAAAAATTAAAACTGCCTGTGTTTCAGGAAGAAACATAACAAAATAAAACAGATTATTTGAAAAATATTAACTATATTATATATATATATATATTCAGATGAAAAGTATGTTTTCATTTTATAGGGAATTCATTATATTCTTTTTTTTTTTTTTTTGAATCAGAATCTTGTTTCTTTGCCCAGGCTGGTGTCCAGTGGCACAGTCTTGGCTCCCTGCAACCTCTGTCTCCCAGGTTCAAGCAATTCTCCTTCCTCAGCCTCCCAAGTAGCTGGGATTACAGGAAGGTGCCAGCATGCTCAGCTAATTTTTGCATCTTTAGTAGAGAGGGGGTTTCAGCATGTTGGCCAGGCTGGTCTCAAACTCCTTACCTCAAGTGATCTGCCTGACTTGGCATTCCAAAGTGCTGGGATTACAGATGTGAGCCACCATGCCTGGCCTATATTGTTTACTATATATCAGATGATATATATTGCTGATACATATACCATATATATTACAGATATAATGTTATGTAAGTTATATATACACATTAGATGAAAAGTAATATGTACATATACACATTAGATGAAAAGTACATTTTCATTTTACAGGGAATTCTTTCAAATCAAACCTTCAAAAATTCTAAAATAGATCACGGACAAGAGAGAGTGGATCTCTCTACCTTGGTTTAGGTGATCGGTTTTTTTTCCAGATTAGGTAACAAAATTTATGTCATCCATTAATTGAATTTTAAATTCAGCTTGAGGACAGATAATTTGTGAGGGTAAATTATTGTCAGGCTCTGCCAATATATTGACTGTCACTCTTTGTTATAGAACTCAAAGTCAGTTTTCATTGAATATTTTACAGATTTAGAGAGCTGGAGGCAGATATAGGTAACTAAAAACTTTTACAGCAGAAGACGTATTTTAATTATATCAAGAATCATTATTTAGTAAATCAATCACCGACCTTTCCCCAGATTATGTTTTCCTTTTTTGAGGGGAAAGCTGTATATAAACTGGCAGTTAAAAAAGTTGTAAGGAAATCAGCTTGCTCATTTGCATTGTACATTTTTGCTTTCAAGCATTTTCCATGAACTGTGTGTGGATTCATTGCCTACATCGGATGACAAAGACTTGAGTGTTGCTACTAAGGTAACGTGGTCTCTTGTAAAATTAATTTTCTCACTCTGAATCTAGTTTTGCATAGTATTTACTTTTAAAACTTAGCAGTGGTATACCTATCATAGTTTTATGGCGGTAATGGAAAGTTGGTCAGGGAAAAACATACATATGGCTAGTTGATTCAAAAAAATTGTTTAACTTTGATAACTAACAAAGATTGATAGGTACTGTGACAGGGTGTGAGCAGAAAAAAAATGAACAGGAAAATAAATAGTGACAGGAAAATCAGATTAGGAAATGCTTTCTCCAATAGACGAAACATGAAATTTGGTTAAGGTTTATTTGGATAAATACTAACACTTTGACTTTTAAATCATATAAGGGTTACTATCATATTTATGCTTGTATAAATCTTCAGGGGATCAAATTATGTGCAGTAATCAAGGAATCCCCCGGTCCCTTTTAGTTGTAAAAACGTTGAGCACAAAGCCTATAGCTTTTTTTTTTTTTTCCTGGAAACTTATAATTTTGGTATTGTATAGTTTTTAGGAGAGATTGTTTCTCTGCTTATATTGTTGGTTCTGTAGTGAGACTAAAATAATATTAAAAATTGTATAAAATTCACTGAGTGTGGTGGTGTAGACGTGTGGTCTCTGCTACTTTAGAGTTTGAGGCAAGAAGATTGCTAGAGCCCAGGAATTTCAGAAAAGCCTGGGCAACATAACAATACTGTATTTGACTTAAAAATACAAATTGTGAAAATGTAGAAATTTAAATTTATGCTCTCAAAATTTGTATTGCAACGGGATTTTTGTGTGTTTTATAAGTTGTCCATGAAGAGTTTCTTTAAAACACTTCATCTAATCGAATAATATGCATTTTGCTGCAAATAAACATTTCTCAAACCAGAGACTCTTAATACCAATATGTTAAGAGTTTAACATCATAATTTTGTCATTGTAGTTTATCTAAACTATTTACTTGGCTGGGCCCAGTGGCTCACACCTTTAATCCCAGCACTGTGGGAGGCCGAGGTGGGGGATCACTTGAGGTCAGGGGTTCGAGATCAGTCTGGCCAGCATGGTGAAACATTGCCTGTAAAATAAGAAAAAACACAAAAATTAGCCAGGCATGATGCTGCATGCTTGTATTTCCAGCTGCTCAGGAAGTCAAGGTGGAGAATCACTTGAACCCGGGAGGCGGAAGTTGCAGTGAGCCAAGATCACACGATTGCACTCCAGTCAGTGTGACAGAGCAATACTACCTCTTACAAAATAATATAACCACTCAAACTCCTTATATCACATTCTAAAATTTTGAGTTTCAGAAATTTTTATAATTAGTTGTTTAAAGAATCATTGGAAGCTCCTGCATATCATGAGGTACTGGAGGTCAGTCAACATATTTGTGTGTATCCTGGAGTACCTAGAATACAGTCTTCCATGTAAGAAGCATTTTAATTGTTGTTTTTTGAGATGGGGATTAACTCTGTAACCGAGGCTGGAGTGCAGTGGTGAGAAATTAACTCACTCCCATCTCCATTTCCTGGGCTCAGTTGATCTTCACACCTCAGCCATCTAAGTACTTGGTACTGCAGACCTGTGTCACCATGCTTGGCTGATTTTTGTCTTTTGTAGAGACGGAGTTTTGCCTTGTTGCCCAGGTTGGTCTTGAACTGTTGGGCTCAAATGTTCTGTCTGCCTCAGCCTCTCAAAGTGCTGGAGTTACAGGCATGAGACATTCAGCCTTAATAGTTGCTTAATCTGAATAAATAGACAAATGAATTTTTATATAATGGAATATTCCAAGTCACATACCTCATGTATCTAACAATTAAATATTTAAAATATTGCATACATTTGTATTATTGTTTAACATTTGAGGATGTATAAGTTTTGGGGTGTTATGTTGAGAAATTATGCCATATAAAAAGGAAATAAATTAGAAATAGGTCATCGGTAGCAAAGAGGATTATAATGTATTTTCTAGTATCATTCAACTGGAATCATAACATTATTATTGCAGATTCACATTTCTTATACTTTTTATTAGCTCCCACTCACGTTCTATGAAATATACCTTCTCAAGCCATACATTACTCTTTAGAATTCTGGTGACCAATTATTTTTCTAGGTGGAAAGTTGAAAGTTCCAGGTTTCTCTCTCTGTTATAATGTTCTTTCGGGTAGTGGTAGATGACCATATTTAAGTAATTGAAGGTCTTATAATAATAAATTCTATCCCAGAAATACTTACAAAAAACTAATTCTAGCATAAATATTAATTAGTATTATTAGGGATACGAAAGACTAAAATGCTCTGTTATAGATCTATATCTCCATGTACTTTATTGTACTTCATGTGGTTTCCTTTTTTTCTTCGCTTAAACTCATATTTCATTTACCAATTAGGCTTGCTTTTTGTTTGTATTTTCCTTCGTTCTCACATTTTAAATTGAAATTTTTGTGGAGTCAGGGTCTTGCTCTGTTGCCCAGGCTGGATTACAGTGGCATGAT